CTGAAGCAGTGCAAACTGCAGATCACTATAAAAATATATCTCCAACTATTGCAGTTGCAGTTATGACTCCTTATGAAAAATGGTATGGTGATAAGCTAAATTTAGAATACTTGAAAGTGCTTGAATGTTGTACACTTGCTCAAGTCCAAAATGAAAACATAAAAAGTGGGATATAAAAGCAAAGGAATCAATGCTTGTTGGGTACTGTCAGGATAGAAAAGGCTATCGATTAATAGATCCTAAAACTTATAAAATAATAAATGCATGAGATGTACAATTTTGGAAAATGAAATGTACTATAAAAAGGCAAGTAATATGCCAAAATTTTATAATGAATTCTCGTTCAGTGGGAGCATGATTATGACATTTTCAGATACCGAGAATGCAATAGCTGATGATCAGAATAGTGAATTGGAAGAATGGTTAATGATAGTACTCAGTCTGATCATCATGAATTAGTTAATTGGTAGTACTAAATCTGATCACCATTAGCATAATACTGCTCAAAATGATAGCCAGTTGATGAGCCACCTATGTTGACCAGAAGCAGAAAAATTAGATTCCCGAAAAGTTATCAGGACACACACGAGATGCCAGAAGTGCAAATGCCAAATTTAGATGGTATGTGCCTTGTTAAAGCTTTAGCAGCAGCAACAAATGATTTGTATTTTGAACTGAAAACCATTGATGAAGCATTAAAGGGCAGTACCATTGGAAGGATTCTATATGCGAGACTATATTAGGTCATATTAAAAACAAAACATGGGAAATAACAGACGAACCTTATGATAAGAGCATCATAGATAGTAAATGGGTTTTTCAAAATTAAATGTAATTCTGTAGGCAAGATTGAAAGATATAAGACACGTTTAGTTGCTAAGGGCTATTCTCAGATTCTCAGATTGAGGGAATAGACTACACTGAAACATTTGCACCAGAGTTGTCCGTTATGTAACATTAAGAGTTTTATTAGCTTATGCAGCTATATATGATTGGGAAATTGACTAAATCTATGCTGTAATGGCTTTTGTACAAGGAACTCTAAATGAAGACATTGGTTTGAAGGAATTTTACAAGCAAAACTTAGAGGGAAAGAGGTTCTAAAATTAAACAAAGCATAGTTTAAAGCAGAGTTGTAGACTATGGTACCAACTGTTAGATAGAAATGGGAGAAAGTTCTTTTGATAGTTGTGTCTATATTAAAATAAATGGAAATAAATAACTAGTTATTGTCACTATTTATGTTGATGACTTACTCATTTTTAGCAATAACACAGAACTTAAAAATTGGGTAAAACAACAACTTAAAGAAAAATTTGAAATGAAAGATTTGGGAACAGCAAATTATTGCTTAGGAACTAAAATCAAACGAGATAGGACTAAAGGGTCCATTAGCCTCAGTCAAACTTGGTATGTAGAGAGTATGCTTTGCAAATATAATATGCAGGATTCTTATGGTGTAAAAAAACCACTAGACCAAAATCAAGTGTTATCTAAACTGCAGTTACCAACTAGTAAGGAATAAAAAACTACTTGTTCCTTATCAGGCTGCCATTGGGAGTCTTCTTTATACAGCTTAAGCAACATGGCCAGATATAACTTATGCTGTGAATTTGCTTGATCAATTCTCAAAAAAATCTGGCAAGGGTTCACTGGAATGCTATCATGCGATATCTTCAAGCCACTACAGATGTTACATTGTCTTTTTCAAAGGACTATAGTGCTGACGTTCTTGGTTACAGCGACTCAAACTATGGAGGTGATGCTGGGGATCGATTATCAACCATTGGATATGTTTTCCTCATTGAAGGTGGTAAAATATCATAGTGTAGTAAGCGTCAAGCTACCATTGCAACTAGTACAAGAGAAGCTGAATATATGGCTCTTTCTGAAGCTACTAAAGAAGCCATATGGCTCAACAAAATTGTTACAGAACTTGGATTATTACTGCAAAGCCAGTACTATTATTATACTGCGATAACAACAGTGCTATTAATCTCACGAAAAATAGTATGTATCATGGTAAATCAAAACATATTGATATACAACACCATTTTGTGGGAGAAGCTGTGAAACTTTCTGAAACTGATTTTTTTGACAAAAAATGTAATCAGTGCAAAACACAAAATGTGTGCAAGGATGACGGGTTTAAAATGAAGACTAATGTAATTTAATGTTTTATTATATGCATGTGTGCTGATGCAATTTCTTATTGCATTTAATCAGGATGATGTTTGATATTTAAACCTGATCACACTACTGGTTTATATACAATAAAGCTCTGTTGTGTGTTATTTATTCTCATGCATGCTAAGTAACCACTCTCTGCTATATTGAGTTTCTAATAAAAATTCACAACCATGAAACCTTAGAATAACATAAAGCTTGTTTTGAAAAATGGAAAAACTTAAGAGCAAGTCTAATTGCTAACAGAGCAACTACTATCTAGCTAGCTATTGAAACAGAATAAGAAAATGGAGAGATCTTTTTAAAAAGACTCCTGTACATCACCATGTTTTTGGCTGAAATGAAATCTTCCATTCCACAGTTACAAACAGCATATTTTGGTTGAACACGGAGCAAGTTTTCTACATCTGATTGAACTTCTAACCCAGTCCACTCAGTCACCATTGGGGAAAATATTAACAACTACTTGTCTCCCACCAAACAAAATGAGTTTATCTCACTTCTGGGTAAAATTAATAAGGAACAGATTTTGACCGATATTAAAAATACAAAGTATTTTAATATCATCATTGACAGTACTCCAAACATGTTGCAAATAGATCAAATGTGTGAAATCATTCGTTACTTTAACAAAAAAGTTGAAATAAAGGGAACATTTCTAGGTGTTTTTTTTTCAGCTAGTTGGGAAGAAAGCCTTTGGCATAATAGAAGATATTTTAAAAGTTATTGAACGAGATGGTCTAGATATAACAGTGTGCTGAGGACAAGGATACATTTCTTTCTCTCAATCTCTTTTTGTAACAGTTTCATTATTTTTGTAACCTTTTGTAATCTTTTTGTAACATTTTTCTTTTCTGGACTTTAGGAAATCAGTACTTGTTTTTCTCAGCTCCTATGCTGAGAAAAGATGGATGATTCTTCTGACAAAAATTGAAGTTACTGTTGAGCAGCTTTCAGAAAAAAAATGGAGGTTAATTAAAACCACAGCAGCAGCTCAAACTCTATAGCCTCCAATGTATTATTTCTCATTTTTGTGTTTTTCGAATAATGACTTAGAAGAAGTCAACCCCATTCAAAAGTATTTACAAATACTTGGAATGGCTTTGAATCTAAAGATCTTTTTAAAAGACAAAAGAAATGACCTTCTTGAGGAAGCACTGCAATTTGCAAGACACATGTGAAGAGATGGGTATTCCTGTAGTAAAAAGAACTGTCATAATAAAGAAAATTATGCTCAGAGAGAAGGCTGCAGAACAGTTGCTGAATTTGGACCACGAACTGAAGAGATCAATGTGCATTGGCAGGTTTCAGTAAGAAATCAATACACATTGTGAAGGCATGTAATGTATATCAGATCAGTTTGCAGTCTCAAAGTCTAGCAATCTAATCAAAACCTTGGAACTGAACTTTTAAAATTTAGTTTGTACAAAATTTCATTGAAAATTATGATGAGCTTCCTGCAGAAAATCTTTACAGAAATTTCATGCTTAAGAAGATATCTAAAAGCCATAAAAGTTTCAAAAGAAGAGTCTCTTGGTTTTACTTTCTTAAGACTTTTAGAGTTTGTGGTTGAATATGAACTTTTTAATTCTGTTCTAATCTCACTTAAGGATTTTTCTTAACTTTATGTGTTTCTATTGCATTATGTGAGAGAAGTTTTTCAAAACTGAGATGAACTAAGAATTATCTCAAATCTACTATAAACAAAATACGACTCTCTAGCTTAGCTATTTTGACAAGTGAAAATAGTGCAGCTAAATGCATTGATTTTGATGAAGCAATTTCAAAATTTTCAGAACAAAAAGTTGAAAGAAAAGATTCTGTTGCTGTGACTTATCTCACTTGTCTGAAAGTAATATCAAAACAAGCCCACACAATTCATCATGGCAAGGACTGCAAGATTGTGCCTGTCACTGGCAACATCCTTGAGCACCATACAGGTGACAGTACAACTTTGCTATGTTCCGTCCCCAATTTTGATGGAAAGCACTCTAAAAATTTTGAGGGGGAGATCGGAGAGAGAATCTCCCACCTGGCTTTCCACACTACCAACCTCTCGAGAAGACTTTCAGTTCGCTGCATATTTAGAATGCTCCCATGCCGCACAGACTCTATGTATTTACAAACATCCATGTCTTCTCTGGGGTTCGAACCCAGACCCTTTGGTGTGGCAGTCAGTGTCACTAACCACTATCCCATTTGAGCAGTAGAAAAGATTCTAAGTATCAGGTCGGATTAGAGATTAGAGAATGAAACTTATAAACAAGTGAGTTTTCATTAAATTGTTTTATAATAATAATAAAGTTATGTACTACATACTGCCACTCTGAAATGAAAGTTTTTATATCATACATTAAACTGACTTACATTTAACTTGTTTTTTCATTCATAAAAAAATTTTTCATTTTATATTTTGGTAGATGTGAAGGATGACAAGTTGAAGCTCAACACTGGTTGCCACTCGACCTTGCTATGACACTGTCCTAACATTCAGATTCTTTCAGAAGAGGCTGCATTATTACAGAAATAAAAATAACCTTTTATATTTCCTTTCACTTTCATAAAAAAATTTAAAGTGTTTCCTAAAACAAAGAGTTGGTTTTCAATCTTCTTGGAATAAGAGAAAATGAGAATAAAATCTGCTTCATATTATAAATATCAATAATAATAAGTGTAAAAAATATGCCTCATAATATATATAACATAACATTATAAGACAAATTCTCAGCATTAAAAAATTTCATCACCTCATTTTTTTATTAAAGATTTCTAGAATACTAATTATTTATCATTAAGATTGCATAAATATTTACCTGCTAAAAGAGGAACTGAATGTCTTATTTTTTTGAAGTTCTTTTGATGAAAGAGGAACTTGAACAGATTGCAGAGCCTCAAACTAAATAAAAATAACAGACACACACAATTACTAAACTGATAATCAGACAAATTTGCCTTTAACTACAATTCCCTTCATATTTTCGAAAAAGCATTTCACTTTATGCAATTACAGTAATTAAAATGATGATTAATCATAAATGAAGAAAATAAATTCATTAATTTTATTTCTGAAATATATTTATTATTTACATTTAAAATTAAAGTATAATGTGCTTAAAATGTGCACTTTATGTGCTTAAAACTTAGCTTGGTTTACAAATTTTGACTATTTTCTTATATATTTGGTACTTCAGTTCTAAAGAAAATAATCATACGATAAAAGAAACTAACTTGTGGATACAGAAATAAACATGCATGATAATAAAAAGAATATATGTTCTCAGAATACAAACAGCTTCTCTTATACTGTGAATGGTTTACACAAATTTTATGTTATTAAATGCTGAGACAGAACTATATATATTAAAAATATTAATACTGAGTATAATTTTTACCTGATTTTCCCCAATTACCCTTCTGATGCATTTCAGTATATGTACAAATCAGCTTTATAAAGAAATTATAATTGTTTGCATTAAAAAATCCCTAAAATTAAAAATAAAAGGTTTTTGAACCATGGTGAATTGTAAATAAAGATTTGGAAATAAAGTCAGAAATGACTATTCACTGACATTTTGAGCAGTGATAGATTTTAGAGTATATCATAAAGTGCTAAATTTTTATAGCATTTATTTCTTTAATTTATAAAATAAGTTTATTTTCATAACCTAGAAATTATAAGAATGAGTTCTAGATTATTAAACACAATACGCCAACAAAATATTTTAAGGTGAGATTATACTAAGCAGAAACAATTTTCATAATCAGATAAGTTCACCTGATGGCACTAAAATCTAATTAACAGTAGAAAGGAAATATGAAAGCTTATTGGCACAATGAAATTATTAAACTGATGATTACTAAAATGGTAAATGTAAATTATTTTAAACAGATTTTTACAAAATTGTGAGCAATTTTCCTGCTTTTAATAGCCTATTACAACGAGCTGTGGGTATGAACTTTATTAAATCTATCATACAACATATTAATATGTCTAAAACAGTTTTAGTATTAAAATTTATGCATGTTTGTATAGTAATTCTTTCATAATTGGTTATTTTTTAAACAAAAGGCTTACATCTGAAATTTGTTTTATTAACACAAAAAAGAGGTTCAATGTATTTCACTTGATAGTTGTGTAACATAATAGTATTAATTAAATTATGAGCTCATACCAACAAAAAACTTAAAGAGTAGTAAACATTTTCAGTGTTAATAAAATTTTCAAAACTTTTTTAGTCTCATAAAAATTAATTATTTTCAAATTGAATTATTTTATTTTCTCCAAAATTATAATACATAGGTACTTTCCTCAATAAATAGATAAAATTATTTGGCATGGTCTGCACCTAATAAAAAATACGGTCAAACTGGTTCAATCCTAAAAGAAGCTGCACAAGTCGAGACATTGTTTACTATCTTGGGCTTGGTCATGCCTTTCTATAACTTAATATTGGCTACACCTCTTTTTAAAAACAAGTTGTAGTAATGCTATAGCTTCATATTGGAAGAAAACTTAAATTATATTTAAACTGAGTTGAAATGCTAGGTTTATAATGTTACTGCACAAGATATTTTATATATATATATATATATAATCTACTTTTACTGTTAAGATTTAATGCAACGAGTTAGCTCTAAAAAATGTATCATTAGGATTTACCAAACGATTGAAAATATTGAATGAATGATTTAAAAATTACAACCGCAACTGCTCAGAATACAGAAAAGAATTATTTTGCTTAAAGAACATTTTGATCACTAATGAGTGTGTCTGATTTGGTGCTTTCTATAGTATAGAGAGTGCCGAATTTACGTATAAGCTGCACAAGCTGTAGCTCAGGGCGCTCACTTTCTTGGGGACAGCCTCAAAAATTGTACCATATCCCATATAAAAAACTGACTCATATCCCTCATAAAGGGCTGCATATCACAAAGAGCTTAGGATCTCGTCAAATCTAAATTCGGTCTTGAGTATGGATGATTATCTGAATCTGGATTTTGTTTTATCAGTTGGAGCAAAAAGGTAAAAAAAGCCTCAGAGTGGTGTATGAAGAAAAGTTTGATTGCAAGATCTTATAATTGCAATTTGTGAAACGAATATGAAACTAGTAGAGCAAAAGAACTGTATAGATGGTTCTGAGTGGATGTGTAGAGTTTGGAGGCAAATGTAAGCATAAAATTAAAAGGTTTGTATGAAAGCACTTGTGGTTTGCAAAGAGTAAATTCAGCATGTATGATGTTTTCCGAGTTACCTATATGTGGTTGGTTAAGTGTGGGAATGATTTTATATGATCGGAATTAAGTATTGCTAAAAATACAGTGACTCACTGGAAAAGTTTCTGTAGGGAAGCGTGCATGGAGTTATGCTTGAAGGAAAATATGATGTTGGGTGGGGGATGGCGTGATTGTGGAAATTTAGAAAAGTAAATTTCCAAAGTTGATTCAGCAATGCAGAGTCTGATTTTTTTTAAGTGAAAAGAGATTGCTGTGTGAGCAAAGCCAAGGTTGTGCACAGTGCTGAGTTTGTTCAATTCTCTGATGTTTTTTAATGTGAAAATGGATCAATGCGTACATGGGCAAAGTCAATATAGTGTGCAATGCCAATTTTGTACAATTCTCTGACTTTTTTAAAATGGAAATAAATCGATCTGTACATGGATACCAAGTTTGTGCAATTCTTTGATGATTTTCGAGCGAATACAGATTGTTGTCGATATGGGCAAAGCGAAGTTATGTGTGATGCCGAGCAGTAATGTAACTTATTTTATGTGCAATGTTTAATATATTGTTTGTGTATTTTAAATTTTTTGTTTTAACTGTAAATTATATTTTACACATCTTTTTTTAAATTTAAATTGTGTTTTCAATTGTTTGGTTTTGATATGCTGATAATGCTTTCCAACTTACTATAAATATTGATAGTCTGACGATCTACTCAATAGTAGCAAAACTGTAAACTTTGACCCTATAAGTATTTTTACCTTATTATTTTAATATGCAATGTTTTTTATTGTAATTGCACTTTATGAATTCATTTACAATATGTACACATGAGAGTGAAGCATTTATTAGTGTTACAAATTTGTAGTATTTATTTCTTTATCTTATTTTCTCTCATTGTGAGAAATTAGACTTATTAATATGTAGTATTCTAGTATGCCTACAGAGAATATAATGTGATTTAGGAATTTAAGAAACAGTGATACAAAAGCTGTGGACAATGATATGCATGAAAAATATTTTTTTTATTAATGTAAAGTTTAAAATTTAAAAAAAAATAATGAAAATTGTCTACTTACTGGTATGTAAGGGATTGTGTGGTTACATAGCAATAAGGTAATTTGAAAAATGATAAAATTAAAATGTTCCATAATATGTATTTAAATTTAAAAAAAATCTTTTTTTTTATTTGTATAAATGCTAAAGCTGAAAAATCTTTGAAAATACTAAAGCTGTATCAAATACAAGTATGAGAGACAGCGACATTGTTTACCATTTTCAAAGCTAATAGAATTCACTTGCTGTACCGAGGTAATTTGAAATTATAAACAATTTGTTATACTTATTTCTATATCTATAGGGAATACATAGTGACGCCACAAGCTTAGACCCACCCATTTATGAACGTCACTTAGCTCCGCCTTTGCAACTTTGTTTATGCAGGGTATTCTGAGCTTTTACTGTCAAGACTTAAATAAGTTGAAACTGGAATGAGCAGAAAAAAGTTGGTAATCATGTAAAATGTTACCTACCACTTTTAGTTAGTTATTTAAATGGTGAAATTTAAATATTTTTAAATTCAAATGTGCAATACAATAGCAGAAAAATGAAGGCATATATTAATAATGACAATTCTTTTGATATAAAAATGTAGAAATATAACTAAAAACAAAACATAGATTTTTTAAGTAATTATTTGCATTAAAAAATGTTGTGCAAAGAGACAAAAAGTCCACATGATTCCAATGAATCATGAATGAACAATTAAACAGATTAAATACACAAAAAATTTTTAATGAAAGTTAAAAATTTTTTTTCATTTAATAATATGCTCTCTTTCATTAATAAGATTACTGTATGAAAATATTTATGTATATATAGTATAAATCAGGGTTTCTTAAACTTTTTTCAGTCATGACTGCTTTTTATCACTGAGATTTTTTTCGCGACCCCTAGGACTGCATAGTATTTACAAAAATTTTGTGGGACCCCATAAGTATTGCGCAAATCTGACACACGTGTGAGTGAAACTGTCAATTTTTTCACTTGTACTGAAATATACTATTGCAGTTTTAGGTCATTAACTTTAATTTCTAATTTTAAGACACAGAACAATGTGAAAATTTTAAATAAGTAACAGACGAAATAACAGCGTCACGTGCAAAGCAAGGAAAATGAACATTTATATTATAAAAAGACTGCATTGAAATGTTTTTGTTTTTTTCCTTGTCTGTATTTGTTTTATCTTTATCTATTTTCAGATACATTGTGTAAAAATATTTGGTAAGTGTAAAAAAATATCAAAACTACTATAAATGTTGTCTTTTTTTTAATATCTTCTTGGTTTTTTTTTATGTTTTTCATGTGAAATGAGTACACATCATTGCTTAGACGAAGGTATAAGATGGGGAATCATGGGTAGGCTTGAGGCAGGCAGTCCCAAGATCTGGTTGCAACAGAACTGTATGTAATATTAAGTGTCACCTCTAATTCGTGGAATCAGTTTAAAAACAGTGAGACAGTGTCCAGAAGATAAGGACAAGGTCACCTGATAGCCACAATGACCGATGATGACCGGTATTTGGTACTTTCAGCCAAGTAACAGTGGATGTCTACAGCCATACAACTGTCTCACTATTGCCACAGGAACATCAGTTTCAAGGAAGACAGTTGCCAGAAGGCTCCATGAGATAGACTGTATGCCAAAAAGCTCACTATTTACATCCCAGTCAATCCCTTCCACAAAAGAGAACATTCACAATGGTGCTTAAAACACCAACACTGGACACATTTTCAATGGGGCATGTTTTCTTCACGGCTGAGTAGTGATTATTGATATAGAGGGAATTTTGGATCTGATAATATCCCAGAAATATCATGGAAAGAGACCAATATGGTGGTGGAGGAGTGATGATTTGGGCAGGGATCAAACTGATGAAGTATAAGTTAGAAAAGGGATCAAACTGATGAAGTCTAAAGTTAGGAATGGAGACAAATAAATAAGCAGAGAGATTCATCTGGATTAACATATATTGAAATACAAAATCATTATAGGCACAGTAAATGTTACATGGTAAAGTAAAACAAGTGACAACAACTGAAAACGTTACCAAAAAACAAGAAATAAAAATCGTGTTGCCACACATGTTGCAAAATATAAATGGTAAATCTAATCATAAATTAAAAGTTATTTGTAACACAAACAAGACAAATACACACCATTCCATGTGTTTGACACTGGTTCCACAAATGCCCAGAGATACAGGCAGGAGATCCTACAGCCCCATGTGTGACTTTTCAGGAGTGCTGTTGGCCCCAAATTCATTTTTGTGGACGACAGTGCATGACCACATAGGGTCCACTTAGTTGATGACTATCTGAAAAGCAAGGATATTCACCAAATGGATTGACCAGCCAAATTCCCTGACCTTAATTGCACTGAATACGCTTGGAATGCTCTTGGGAGGACTACTGCAATCTGCCAACCCCACCCAGAACCATTCAGGACTTAAAACACCTCTGGAGGAGTAGTGGGTACAACCTCCACAGGCCCTCCTGACTCTCTTGTTAACAGCATGGCTACTTATTGTGCATGCTGTCTGTCTGTCTGTCATAGGCGACCATACATCATACTAGCCATATTTTCACTGCCACCTTTCAACTTCGAGTTTGGACCACATTGGACTCTTGGCCATAACTCATGAATGGCATTTTCATTTTTATTTTGTACACATTATTGTCATACAATAAACTATATCCAGACCTAATTTCATTTATTTCTGTCCGGTATTTCTCGAGATATTTGGGAAAAAGTGTTCCAAAACTTTAATTTTTTCCACCAGCCTATGTGAAATTTCAAACTATAGGCGATTGGATTTGATGAAAATTCTAACAACAGTATGGTTGCTTTACATTTTTTTGTAAATGAAAAACAAGTTCGAGAATAGAGAAAGCAGAGTGCAAATTTCTCCGATATCAGATTTTTTCGTTGGCGATTGTGCACCAAACCAATATTATAAACAATTTTGAAAATAAAATGAATATTTAATTTTCTTTAAAATTTTTTTCAGAATTTTAAGAAATATAAACCAAAAGAAATAAACCGCTATATTTAACAATGATTGCTTGTGCTTGGCTAACGGAAAAAGCACCTATGTTTTTGTGAGATTAGTGCATCTGTATGTAAGCCAACCCCCATAGTTTAGCTTCAGATAAAGCGCCAAAAATTCTCAGCTTATATGCAGAAATATATTTTATATTATCCCAAATTAAAAAGTATAGATTGCTTTTGTAAATTTAATAACTATATTCTATAAAGTTCAATTTTAAAAACTCACAAGACTAAAAGTGCTGTCACTTATGGGGATCATTAAAGGCTTCAGAAAAACCATGAAGGTGGAAATTATTTAAAATTTGGGCCACGATCTTTGTGGCTTGGGGATAATATTGGATTTTGATATTGAAAGATTGATATATATAAAGGCTTCAGAAAAACCACGAAGGTGGAAATTATTTAAAATTTGGGCCACGATCTTTGTGGCTTGGGGATAATATTGGATTTTGATATTGAATAAAATATAAAAAGTATAGCAATCTTAAATTATAAAAAATAAAGTTCAATCTTTTTGAATATATAATTAAACTTGTCAAAATTTTGAATTATCTGATTTGAAGTAATCAAAGTTTTACTTGTGCTCAACATACATAGGATATGGGTTGAAATGTTAAGAAATCACTATCACCTAAATACCCAATAATCCTACTAGTTTGATAAATACATAGTTTTCTTTCTTGTTTCACCTCAGCAATTTTTAATCGCTTCTTAAATAAGTTTCTTTTTTCCATGGTTTTCACAATCATTTTTTTAAACTAATAATATATAATGATATATAATTTTGAAAAGGATATATTTAAAAGGATATTTTAGTGATCAAATTCTTTAAATTTTATATTAAAAGCATAAGAAAAATTAAGGGTTTTTCATAAAGATTAAAAGAAACGAATACCAGCTTTTACAGCTAATTTTGATAACAGATGTGGTATATACGACACAGGCTATGGTCTAGGAATGGGCAAACTACGGCGCGCCAGAACGTTTTATCCGGCCTGCGGATATAATTTTAATTTGCCGGTCCAAAGCAAATTAAAAGAAATATATATTTAAATATTATATATATCCATCTCCTTTTCTACTTTGTTCAAATATTATTTTTTTCTTCCTTTTTTTACAAAGGACTAATGATCTTTTTACTTATTCTAAACTCTGGCTTTTAACTTTGAAAGTGCCTATAACAAATATATGTAATATTGTAACTGATGGAGCACCAAATATGACAGGAAAAAAATCTGGATTTCTTGGACTCTTTAATCAAAACTATCCTGGGAACAACGTTGTATTCCTACACTGCTCTGTATAAATCTGCAAATGAATATGAAACCCGTGCTTGATGCAGTCGTGAAGCTTGTAAATACTATTCAACCTCATGGGCTTACTCACAGACAATTTTGAAATTTTCTTCACTCCATGCAATCTGAATACTCTGATGTACTGTATTACACGAAAGTAAGGCGGCCCAGTGCAGGATGTATTTTCGAGCGAGTTTGGCAGCTGAAAGACAACATTGTGTAGTTCTTCCATGAGAAACAGTGTTCTGCGGATTGCGAAATGTTAAAAGATACAGAATGGCTTTTGGACTTTGCATTTATCACAGATTTTCATTGTCATATGAACAACTTGAATGTCAAGATGCATGGGAAATATCAACTTATCGACGATATCTGAGCTCATCTCAAATCTTTTAAAATAAAACTTAATCTGTTTGCTGGGCAGGTAGCTATAATGACTTGTCTCATTTCCTGAAATTAAATTCAATACCCTTAATAAAAATGAAGAGAAGCTTAAGAATTGTGAAGATGAATTGAAAAAACTGCATTTTGAGTTCAAACATAGATTTCAAGATTTCAGAGGCATTCAAACAGAATTGGATATTTTTACCATGCCTTTCAACATAAAGTGTAAAGCAGTGATGTCAGATTTGCATCTTGAATTAATTGAGTTACAATCTAACAGTCATCTCAAGCAGTTGTTTCTAAATATACCAAAGTTAGAGTTTTATGTATCATTATCGAAAGTAAGTTTCCCAAATTTAATATCTCACGCACAGATAATCAGTGCTATGTTTGCTTCATCTTATATATGTGAATAAGTGGTTTCAACAAGGAACCTTAGAAAGAATTATTTCAGAAGTAGACTAATAGATGGATATTTAGCCTCGTTCTTTAGAATCAGTACATCTCGCACTGTGAACCTCAATATAAGGAATTTTCAAAAATGAAATCACAATTGCATTCATCTCATTAACATATTTAAATTATAATACTTGTATAAATATATATATTTTTTTATTTTAGAAAAATTTACCTTGGCCCGCCAAACTTTTGTTTTTTGATTTTTGGCCTGCAACCGAAAAAGTTTGCCCATTCCTGGTCTAGTGATAATAATACCTTTGCAAGTTACATAAATATATATATATATATATATGGTGGAGTAACAGTTTTAAAGTTTACCTTGATTTTACAAATTATGCAACCTTTTTAACTACTGCTGTAGTCACACAATATTTTTTTCTTCTAATACTATTTCCTTAATGACTATGACTTGCAGTTTGTACTTGAATGCAAAATATAAGGTCAAAAGGTTTACAATAGTAATAGCTTACTTCATTTTTAAAATTACTGCCAGATGAGTTCTGCTTGGAAGAGTAGCATTTAGATTTCTCGATAACTAAAATACAATAAAATTCTTATAAAATACTCATATGAATTATTTTAGAAAAAAAATTATTAAAATACATTTGCAGATTTATTCTTTACAATAAGCCTTTTTACAAATAAAATTCAGGAAAAAAAACATGTTCAAAATTATTTGATAAAAAAATGAAATTTATGTAAGAAGCTTTAAACTAAAATAACATATAAAAAAAGATATTTGAAAATATTTAAAACACTTACTCTTTCTCTTGTAAAGGAAAATCGGAGGCCTTGTAACTGTGAGTCAAAATTATATATATATATATATAAAAGAGGCAAAGTAAAATCATATAAAGCAACAAAAAATAAAGCACTTTATTTTATGTCTGCTACTATATATGCACCAAATGATAATAATAAATAAACAAAAAATAAATAAATAAAACAAATAAACAGCTGCAGCTATAAAATCCTTCAGTTTTAAAATATTATTTAAAAATTAGGGGAAAAAATTCAAACATTGTTTTGTTATTATTTTGAAATACTGTTTCAAATTAATAAACATTTTCTTTAGGTTCAAACTTACAAGAGAGAATTGTAAGAAGTATTATAGGTAGTTTAAACAATCCACACTAAAAATATATAATTTTGTATTGACTATTTTTAAATCATTACAATGAACAATCAACTACATAAACAATCATTATGAATTTATTATATGCCTGTGATATAGTTATTTAATTCAAATACCTGTTTGCAATTAAAACAACAAAACATATTAAAACTCCTTTTAAAAAACTGTTTATATAGGAAAACTGCCATTTTATTATAAAGGTGCTTTCTTATCAGAAAGAAAGTAAACCTCATTTTACTTTAAAATGTGTTAAATAAATTAAGGACTAAAACATATCCATCCATTCTCACAGTAGAATGCACAGTTTATTAATTTTATGAACACCTAGTAACTTATTAAACTAGTCTCAATTTCTGACTTAAATGATATTATACAAAATTATTTAAAATAGATTTACAATTAAAATTGAAGAGTAAAAATGCATAATTCTTTTATGACTATTTTTTATGATTTTTCTGTTAAAATTTATAGGACACACTTTCACAAATATTAAAAAAAAAAATCTTACAAGTATAAAATTTAACAATGAGTGTAAATGTCAAATCAACTAGAATACAAAACTAAATAGTACACAATGTTATTTACAATGAAAATTTGTGAAGAATTTTAATAGCTTAGTTTAAATGTGAGTAAATTTAAAATAATTTATGATGCAACAATCTATAAGGAATAAATATGTTTTAATACAAATAAATATATTCTTATCTATAATATTCTTAATAATTACATAATTGTATGATCTTATTTTTATTTTCTATGCTAACACTCAGCATTATATATACAGTTTTATTTTATTTGGGTTGTTAAATCAGGAATTTAAAAGAACTATTCACATATAAAAATATTACTAGTATATTTAATTTCATATTTAATACAGTCAAAAGTCTTTAATCCAGACTGGTCGGAACTTCAGCGATTTGGGATTATCGGTTTTTCCGGATTATAGATCATCAGTTTAAATCTGGCAAGATGGCATGCAGAAATTATAAAATTAAAAATATGAAACCATAATTTATGTAATAAAGAGCAATTATGATCTAAAGTATATCAAAATTTACACAAAAAAAAGCTTAATATTTATTTGATTACTTTATTAAACATTTCTTTCAACGCGCGCATGCGTAAAGCACACATTACGCATAATCGAAATTAGAAAATTGCAACCAGAAAACTATTTGATGTGTATTCGTGATATTTATAATGACGAGGAATTTGATTTAATATCAAAGAAGGAGTATATCGAGATGAAATACTACATTTAGTAAGGAATTATAAGCCGAATAAAATAAAAACATCTGCCCTGAAGATAAGGATAGTGCTGACAGATCCACTTCCAGTTCATTGCGCACAGCGTCGTCCCCCCCCCCCGCAGAGCAGCGTGAAATTGATAAACATATTTCGGAATGATTAGAGAATTAAAGGATACGCCTTTATCCATTTTTTGCAGCAATTCCACTTTTTGTTTGGAACATCGGAACATGCTTTCATCCTTTGGTAGCACCAGAATCGGAAATTCTTTTTGGCATAATCGAAAGTTCAAGCTTACTTTTATAAAACTTCTCTAACAATCTGCAAAGCCAGATCCAATTAGAAGATTAAGGAACAATTCAATCTGCAACATTAACTGAAATAGATAATTAGATAATTTTAGCTTAGCTTATACCGTCTGTTATACATTAAACGCGTATGCGTAAACGCATGTGCACATGCGTAAAGGTATTATGCGCATGCATTAATGCATTATGTGCATGCATTAACACATTATGCGTTGACACATGCGCAGAAAATTTGTAGCTTTGAGGTCCGGATTATGGACGTCCGGATTAAAGACTTTTAACTGTATTTGATAAATATGCATTTCAGTAATTTATAGAAATACCAAACAAAATAAGACATAGCATTTGTACCTGTTTGACCATTGAAAAAACCAGGAAATATCACATAATGATTAGGTTGCACAAGAGGTGAACTTAATTCATAATGCTTTTGGAAAAATGCAAGACTTTTAAAAGTTGGACGATCAATAGCTAATTTTTCTGGTGAAATCTTTTCAGCCTAATAAAGGAAAATTAAAATACACTTTGAAGATCCATTAATTAAATATCATATTAAATACATAAGCATATAAAATAAAGAGAGAATAATTAAACCAAAAATCAAATCAAGAGAGGTTAACATTCTAACAGTAAGTATATACACATCAAAAACAAAACAAAAATAATTCAATAAATAACATAATACAATTTTATAATATAAAAAACTTAAATAATTAATAATTATTAATAATAAATATTAATTAATTAAAATAATTCTTAATTTAAAATAATTGAAATTCTTACTTTATTTACTTTTACTAAATTTCTTCTAATAAATTCCTTTTCTCAAAAAATGACTTGTATATTTTACTTTTGATTTACAAAGGTCTTTTAGCAATTCCATTTTCTCTTTCATTAGGAATTTATTTAATATTTATTTATCGAATTACTTTACTGTACCAAACTGTTATTCTTATTTCTTGCTCAAGAATTCTTTTTATAATGTTTATTTTTACAGTAATTTTTGTTTTAGGATATCATTGGAACAGAAAGTATAATAAAGTGAAATTTTTAATTTTAAAAAGAAATTTTACTTTAAAAAGATTTTAATTAATTATTTTAAAACCAATTTTCATTCAGCACTTTCTTTTAATTATTTCAAAAATCACAATCACCCAGGTATAATTCTGAAACTCTGTGGAAAATTCTTTGCCTGCTCCTTAAAAAAAAAACACCAAAGAATTTTCAACAACATTTTATATTAATTTTATTATGTTATTTTAGTGAATTATTTTTGTTTCAATTTTGATATGTGTACTTCCTGCTAGACTGTTAATTACTTTCTTGCTTTATTGATTCAATTATTATCTCTTGATTATTTAATTAATTTCACAGCATATTGCATAACTTTATATATATATATGTATATTATATACAGTCAAAAGTCTTTAATCCAGACGTCCATAATCCGGAATGATCTATAAACCGGACCTCAAAGCTACAAACTTTATGCTCATGCACGTACGCTTTAACGCATGCGCATAATACATTTATGCATGCGCATTTAATGTATAACGGACGGTATAAGCAAAGATAAAATTATTTAATTATCTAGTTCAGTTAATGTTATCTTCTAATTGGATCCGGCTTATTATTTTTTGCAGACTGTTAGACCAATTTTATAAAAGTAAGCTTGAACTTTCGATTATGTCAAAAAGAATTTCCGATTCTGGTGCTACCAAGGATCTACAAAGCGAAGTATGTTTCGATGTCCATCAAACAAAAAGGGGGAATTGCTGCAAAAAAATGGATAAAGGCATATCCTTTAATTCTCTAATCATTCCGAAATATGTTTATCAATTTCACGCAGCTCTGCGGGGGGGGGGGGCACGCAATGAACTGGATGTGGATCTGTCAGCACTATCCTTCTCTTCAGGGCAGATGTTTTTATTTTATTCGGCTTATAATTCCTTACTAAATGTAGTATTTCATCTCGATGTACTCCGTCTTTGATATGATTTAAATCAAATTCCTTGTCATTATAAATATCACGAATACACATCAAATAGTTTTCTGGTTGCAATTTTCTAATTTCGACTATGGGTAATGTATGCTTTACGCATGCGTGCATTGAAAGAAATGTTTAATAAAGTAAACAAATAAATATTAAGCTTTTTTTTTTTTTTTTTTGTAAATTTTGATACCCTTTAGATCATAATTGCTCTTTATTTCACGAATTATGGTTTCATATTTTTAATTTTATAATTTCTGCATGCCATCTTACCAGATTTAAACTGATGATCTATAATCTGGAAAAACCGATATTCCAGGATCGCCAAAGTCCCGACGAGTCTGGATTAAAGACTTTTGGCTATATATATATACATTATATATTGTTATATTTTCAATAAACATACATACATTGTTTACACAGTTAATTAAAAAGTCCTATATTTTGAATACAAATAAATAAATAAAAGGTTATCTTGATTTCTTTAAAAAGATGTAGTGAAAGATTTGTATTGGGTAAATTAAAATTTAACAAAATAAAAGAAGGTAACTGGAGAAAAATTCAAACCAAGTTGGGAAACATATAAACTGCTAAAACTATACAATGTTAAGTGTCAAATTTTGTATAGTTTATACAACTAAAGTTTGTGAAGTACTAAGAAATAAGTTTTTAACCAGCTTAAAAGTAAAGATAGCTACTATTAAAACAAGAGAGAAATATCCTCATGATTGTGCAACAAGCTGAGCTTGGAATTATACTAAAACATATGGTTTATTACTCTGACATTCTTTCCTTCCTTAATAAGTCATTTTATGTAGAATTAGAAACAGTAAAACAAAAGATTAAGCAAAAATGAGGATTTGCTTATTATTATAGAATATTTATAGGAGACAAAGTGTGAAGTTTTAATAAATTACTTTAGTCAGGCAGAACTATCACACCATTATAGCTGTATTTAATGTAATTGTGTAAGTCACAATTTGTATCATGAATTAACAAAAATATTAGGAAAGCACCCTGTTTAAAACTAGGGGAAGGAGAATTAACTTGCAATCTAAAAAAAAAGACTTCAGTCTAACAGCTTGAAGAAGAATTCAACTCTAAGGTTTATATAAAAACAATTAAGAATAAAATCTATTATATAAATATTTCATTTATCTTCTTAAAAAACAATATCTACTGTTAACTCTCATAAAATAATAACTTCACTAACTCATAAAATAATAACTTATATTCATAATAATAAAAATTAAAACTCAAGAAAAAATATGTTTGAAAGGTTTGATATTTCTTTTTTAAATGTAAAATGGTACCGTCAGTTTAATATTAAAATATTAAAGATACAGTACCATTTGAGCAAAGTTATAAAAATACATGCAAAGTATTGTAATCTGCATGTCACCACAAAATTTTATTGTCACCATCGATGCTTATATTAAATCAAGAGTGCACTGGAGCCCTACTTCTCAGAGTTAATTAAAACTGCAATTTCAGCCACAGCCTTACATAAGGTGAGCCCCAGTACTTTATTTAACTATATGCCAATAATTCTAGACAAGTTTCCATTTTGTTAATTTATCTCTTTACATTTTATTTAATTTTCATTATTTGTTTTTGGCTAATCTTTTCCAGTGGCCTTTCATAGGACTCTAAAATATTTAATTTCAGAAATTTAACCCTGGTAACCATTCCATTCTATTCTACAAGTAGATGCAGTTAATAGCATATGAAAAATAGAAAATTTTACAATTGACATAGCTATTAAAATATATTTACGATAGACATCACATAAAATAATGCTTGTTGCAAAATAATATTAAAAAACACAGATAAAATGATATTTTAAATTACAACACACACCGCTTATTGTGATCTTACTCAAAGCTTCCTTCTCATTTGTATATGCAAACATGGAATATATTGAAAACAACAATTTGGTTATCATGATAAATATTATATAATAGAACATTTGTTATATTTAAGTCACCAAATAAGGTCAATATCGATTATATGAATTTTTTTCATTATGTATTTTTCTTTTTATAAAAACAAATTTAAACAAGCGTATGAAGAGATAAAAAAAAGGCTAGATTTAAATATAAGCTACACAAGCTATAGCTTAGGACCCCACAAAAATTAAAATATAGTATAAATAGTATTAAAATATATTATAACAGACTTATAAAAGGCCCCATATCTCAAATAGCTTAGGGCCTTATCAAATCTAGATCTGACTCTGGATAAACATATCTGTGTGAAAAAGAAAAGAACTAAGTTCAGAAGTATACCTAATACATCAAGAAAAAAGCTGTTTACTTAGAATGATTACATAATTATGAAATTTTTCACACTACTGCATTTATTTTATAACTATTTGCTCAATTTGTAATCACTTTTCCTACTAGTATCAGTTTTGAGAAAAATCAAAGAAAATCTTATGAGTATTCCTACATGTGCACTAAAAGCTATAATCACTAGAAAAAAAATTTTTTTTTAAAAAGGTGCTTCCTTTATGCACCAAGATTCTCAATAAATCATCAATGGAATATCATAAATTGTCACCTGGCATTTTCAACCACAATTACTTACAATCTGCCCATCATGATAAAGTTCTGAGTAAGATACATGCTACTTTTGTATTTCTATCAGATATTTTTCTCAAGGAATGTTAATAACATTTGATCAAGTTTATAAGTATATCTTTAAGGAGTGAGAAAGAGGCTTTACAGTCGAAAGTTGTTAATCCAGACTCGTCGGGACTTCGGCAATTCTGGATTACCGATTTTTCCGAATTATAGATCATCAGTTTAAATCTGGTAAGATGGCATGCTGAAATTATAAAATTAAAATATGGAAACCATAATTTATGATAAAGAACAATTATGGATCTAAAAGGTATCAAAATTTGAAAAAAAAAAAAAAGCTAATATTTATTTGTTTACTTTATTAAACATTTCTTTCAATGCAAGTTGTTTAAGTTGCTTCGTTTTTTATGTGATAATAATTCTCTTTAATTCTATAAACAAACATAATTTCTTGTTCAGTTACAAAGTTCCGCTGTTCAAGTCCTATAATTGCTGTGTCGTGAATACCGACTAATTTGTCAATCGAAATTTTTTCGTTTTCAATAACTTCTGTTACTTTCTCGCTATCGGAAGGAAATATGATGACAAGGAATTTGATTAAATCATATCAAAGACGGAGTACATTGATATGAAAATACTCATTTAGTAAGGAATTATAAGCCAATAAAATAAAACATCTGCCCTGAAGATAAGAATAGTGCTGACATCACTTTAATTCATTGCGCTCCGCGGGTTAAGATAAACAAGTTAGATAAACAAAGTTAAAGTTAGATAACAAAGGATATGCCTTATCCATTTTTTGCAGCAATTCCATTTTTTGTTTAATGGACTTCGAAACATACTTTCGCTTTGTAGATCCTTTACATATTAGTAAATATATTGACATAATCGAAAGTTCAAGCATACTTTTATAAAATTGCTCTAACAGTCTGCAAAAAATAATAAGCCGAATCCAATTCGAAGATTTAAGGAACAACGCAATCTGCAACATTAACTGAATTAGATAATTTTAGCTTAGCTTATACCATCCGTTATACATGAAACGCGCATTCATAAATGTACTTTGCTCATGCGCACATGCATATTCGCAGCCGTAAATGTCTTTCGCGCATGCGTCAACGAGACGCAGAAAGTTTGTAGCTTTGAGGTCCGGATTATGGGTGTCCGAATTAACGACTTTTGACTGTATCATTCTTCAAAGAAAGGCCTTTAACCTTGCCTTCAGATACGTAAAAATGGCCAGAAAAATGAAAACCCTATCCATTCAATAATGCATTTAAAAGTGTAAAGTTGCAAGTGTAACAAAAGCATACATTCTGGCAACTGGTTTAATGCCAGGATTCACAACCTTTTGCTTGCATCGACTTTACAATTAGAGCATTTATTTAATTCCTTTGATTTAAAAGATGAAGAATTTAACCAAGCAACAAAATAAATAAATACATAAATAAGCAAATGAACTTTTCTACTTCTATTCATCAAAGAGTTAAACAATAAAACCTACTTGCAACATAGCATTAAACAAGGTATGACCAAATCCAGACCGCTGTTTCGATTCATGAATATAAAAATCAAGTACACAGATAGGATCCACTTCATTTTGAGCTCCAAGTTCATCACATATGAAAAGTCTTTTAATTCCTACCTTCAGCATACCAATAACAGATCTGAAATAATTTACTGTAAATTATAAAAAATATTTTATGAAAGAATTGCAATAACAACATAACCACACAGTACCAACTGCTCATTTCTTAACCCTCTGAGCATTACAGGTTTAGCTCTGAAATTTCAAAATTCCTCAAAATGTCATGAATAAATGGTATTTTCTTGATTATAATTAAAAAATGACTCTTACTTTGTACCTTCATTTCTATTCTTCCAATATACATCCAATCCGAAATCAGTTACATTAAAACCTGGCAGAAATTTTAATGTGTAATGAATATAAAAGCCACCCTTCTATATGAACTTTTCTGTCCATAATGCTGAGAGGGTTAACTTTCAAATTAATTAAGACAGAAGAAATATTAAGATAATTTTTTCCTTAAAATATTAAAAATTTGCTTCAGATTTGCTATCACAAGTTACTTAATCAAACAGTTTAAATCAGTATAACTTAAAGTTCTTGCTTATACATATTCTTAAGATTATTCTTATTTGAAGTGATAAAAATTCTTACCTGATCAGAAAACAAACATATTTTTTACCTGATCCATGTTGTCTTACTTAAAATCTAATACTCCATACTAAATATGTTGTTGATTAAATATTATTAAATAATAAGAAAAATAAATAAATCCTATAACAATGTATACATTCCAGAAAAAGTAATACTACGTAGTCCTTGAAACAAGCACTTAATTTTGGAAAATAGATTGTCACATAAAATTTGTATTTCCATAATATGAATAAAAACATACCAGTTTTTTCTGGCTAAGGACAAAAATATAATTCTAAATTTGATAAAATAGTAATCAATCAAGATAAAACATGGTACTATATAACATTTAATCTATAACACAGTTTTGTTATGTGAAAGCATCTTCAAATATGTTGTTGTAATGTGAGAAAATTTAAAGTAATGATTAAAAAATTATCAAGTTTAGAAATACAGTGTAGGTTTTCCTGAAAGACAAACAAAAATGTAAAAAATAATTATCTAATGAAAGCTATACAATACAAACTCCGAAATCTGTACATCTAATATCCGGAATGATCTAAAACCCAAACCTCTGAATCCCCAGCAACCCCAGCATTTTATGCTTTATGTTTGCACATTTGAAATTTTTCATAAAATTTCAGGAAAATCCAAATTTTTAATTTTACTTTGGCACTGATGTGAACCTAGTAAATCATTATTTATTATATATTGGTTAGCCTACTGCATCAAATAATCGATGTGAATATATATCTTCTACAGCTCAATTAAAATGTATACAATTATCATTATATAACAATTTATAGATACATTAGTCTCTAGAATATACAGTCAAAAGTCATTAATTCGGACACCCATAATCCGGAATGATCTATAATCTGGACCTCAAAGCTACAAACTTTCTGCGCATACCTTTACAGCTGCGAATATGCGTGTGTGCATGCACAAAATACGTTTACGAATGTGCGTTTAATGTATAACGGACGGTATAAGCTAAGCTAAAATTATCTAATTCAGTTAATGCTGCAGATTGCGTTGTTCCTTAACCTTCGAATTGGATTCGGCTTATTATTTTTTGCAGGCTGTTAGAGCAATTTTATAAAAATAAGCTTGAACTTTCGATTATGTCAAATAGAATTTCTGATATATATTTACTAAGATGTAAAGGATCTACAAAGCGAAAGTATGTTTTGAAGTCCATTAAACAAAAAATGGAATTGCTGCAAAAAATGGATAAAGGCATATCCTTTGTTTATCTAACCTTTGTTTATCTTTAACACCACGGAGCGCAATGAATTAAAAGTTGATCTGTCAGCACTATTCTTATCTTCAGGGCAGATGTTTTTATTTTATTTGGCTTATAATTCCTTACTAAATGTAGTATTTCATATCAATGTACTCCGTCTTTGATATGATTTAAATCAAATATTAATTATAATTCACTTCACGTCATTATAATTCACTTCCGATAGCAAAGAAAGTGACAGAGGTTATTGAAAACGAAAAAATTTCGATTGACAAATTAGTCGGTATTCACGACACAGCAATTATAGGACTTGAACAGCGGAACTTTGTAACTGAACAAGAAATTATGTCTGTTTATAGAATTAAAGAGAATGTAATATCACATAAAAAACGAAGCAACTTACACAACTTACATTGAAAGAAATGTTTAATAAAATAAACAAATAAATATTAAGCTTTTTGATTTGTAAATGTTGATACCCTTTAGATCATAATTGTTATTTATTTCATAAATTACGGTTTCATATTTTTAATTTATAATTTCTGCATGCCGTCTTACCAGATTTAAACTAGTGATCTATAATCCGGAAAAATAGATAATCCGGAATCACCGAAGTCCCGACGAGTCTGGATTAATGACTTTTGACTGTATTAAAAAAATTTATATCATACTTATTCATAGATCTAGCTCTTTTTTTTAATAAATTTTACTGCTCAAAAATCAAGAAAGTAAAGTTGCATAGCATATACAAATTTTTAAAGAAAAAGCTGGTATTTATCTTTTTTTTATCGGGACTGGATTCAGAATTATATGTATGTATGTATCTCTATACAGACATATACATATGTGCATTTCCTGAATGCAGGCTCGATAATAAAAAAAGTATCACAAAGCTAAAAGCAGAATCCTCCACCATAATTACAGGATAAAAAAAGATACATGAATCTATGCACTTTGACTGCGTGGTATAACAGTCAAAAGCTTGACATCTGTAAATAACATATAAGTACAACATGTACAGTCAAAAATTATTAATCCGGACTCGTCGGGACTTCGGCGATTCCGGATTATCGGTTTTTCCGGATAATAGATCATCAGTTTAAATCTGGTAAGATGACATGCAGAAATTATAAAATTAAAAATATGAAACTGTAATTTATGAAATAAAGAGCAATTATCATCTAAAGTGTATCAAAATTTACAAAAAAAAAGCTTAATATTTATTTGTTTACTTTATTAAACATTTCTTTCAACGCGCGCATGCGTAAAGCACACATTAGGCATAGTTGAAATTAGAAAATTGCAACCAGAAAACTATTTGATGTGTATTCGTGATATTTATAATGATGAGGAATTTGATTTAAATCATATCAAAGAAGGAGTACATCGAGATGAAATACTACATTTAGTAAGAAATTATAAGCCGAATGAAATAAAAACATCTGCCCTGAAGATAAGGATAGTGCTGACAGATCCACTTCCAGTTCATTGCGTGTCCCCCCCCCCCCCCAGAGCAGCGTGAAATTGATAAACATATTTCAGAATGATTAGAGAATTAAAGGATATGCCTTTATCCATTTTTTGCAGCAATTCCCCTTTTTGTTTGATGGACATCGAAACATACTTTCACTTTGTAGATCCTTTGGTAGCACCAGAATCGGAAATTCTTTTTGACATAATCGAAAGTTCAAGCTTACTTTTATAAAATTGCTGTAACAGTCTGCAAAAAATAATAAGCCGTATCCAATTAGAAGATTAAAGAACAACACAATCTGCAACATTAACTGAAATAGATAATTAGATAATTTTAGCTTAGCTTATACCATCCATTATACATTAAACGTGCATGTGTAAACGTATTATGCGCATGCACACACGCATATGCATGTGCGTAAAAGTATTACTTGCATGCGTAAATGCCTATGCGCATGTGCAGAAAGTTTGTAGCTTTGAGGTCTGGATTAAAAACTTTTAACTGTATATACTATTATTACTTTATTATATACAGTCAAACGTCGTTAATTCGGACACCCATAATCCGGAATGATCTATAAGCCGGACCTCAAAGCTACAACTTTCTGCGCATGTGTCGTGTTGACGCATGTGCGTAAGACTTTTACGGCTGCGAATATGCGTGTGCGCACGCGCATAATACGTTTACGCATACGCGTTTAATGTACAAGGACGGTATAAGCTAAGCTAAAATTATCTAATTCAGTTAATGTTGCAGATTGCGTTGTTCCTTAATCTTCGAATCGGATCCGGCTTATTATTTTTTGCAGACTGTTAGAGCAATTTTGTAAAAGTAAGCTTGAACTTTCGATTATGTCAAATAGAATTTCCGATATATATTTACTAATATGTGAAGGATCTACAAAGCGAAAGTATGTTTCGAAGTCCATTAAACAAAAAGTGGAATTGCTGCAAAAAATGGATAAAGGCATATCCTTTGTTTTTCTAACCATTCCGAAATCTGTTTATCAATTTCACGCTGCTCTGCGGGCGCAAGGGGGGGGGGAAACGCCATGACGCGCAATGAATTGGAAGTTGATCTGTCAGCACTATCCTTATCTTCAAGGCAGATGTTTTTATTTTATTTGGCTTATAATTCCTTACTAAATGTAGTATTTCATCTCGATGTACTCCGTCTTTGATATGATTTAAATCAAATTCCTCGTCATTATAATTCGCTTCATAGTGAAGAAAGTGACTCAGAGGTTATTGAAAACGAAAAAATTTCGATTGACAAATTAGTTGGTATTCTGGACACAGTAATTATAGGACTTGAACAGCGGAACTTTGTAACTGAAGAAGAAATTATGTCTATTTATAGAATTAAAGAAAAGTATTATCACATAAAACGAAGCAACTTAAACAACTTACATTGAAAGAAATGTTTAATACAGTAAACAAATATATATTAAGCTTTTTTTTTTTTGTGAATTTTGATGCCTTTTAGATCATAATTGTTCTTTATTTCATAAATTACGGTTTCATATTTTTAATTTTACAATTTCTGCATGCCATCTTACCAGATTTAAAGTAGTGATCTATAATCCGGAAAAATCGATAATCCGGAATCACCGAAGTCCCGACGAGTCCGGATTAACGACTTTTGACTGTAGTTCATTTAGTTGTTATTTTTGATTATATTCTTTCTAATTATACATCATAATTTGTAATTTATCCCTTAGACAATGCATACTAATAATGTTTCTTGTTAAACTACATAATTTAAATACAAAGGTTCTTATTACCAGGAAAAATTTACTAGCATATATTTTAAAATAAAACAAGTTATGTTACCTTGGCTCAGCTAAATCTCTGATGGTATAAATTTTCTGATGATGAGAGTTCAAAAATTTTTTAAAAGTTGTGACAGGAGAATTTAAACCTTGAGCCTAAAAATACATAATAAATGAAAATAGAGCAATACATAAATTATTCTTTAAAACAGATTACTCAGATTTTCACAAAATTCTTAAGCAGCTCTATATTTATTGTATACAATTCTACAGTTTTATTTTTTCATGTAAAAATTACTGAATTCAAAAGTTTATTACTTCAGAATTTAAAAAAAAAAAAAAAAAAAAAAAAAAAAAAAAAATAAGAACTTCAAAATCAGTGCTACAAATAATTTGATACCACAAATATAAACAACTTATAAAAATGATAATTATGATAGTTAATTTTTTTTATCATAAATGATTATAAAAATATGATATCATATGAATTCAAAGTTTTGTAAAACTGTTTTGTATAAAGCTTTTGATTATGATTTATAACTTAAATCTGATTATAACTTAAGTATGACCTACATAAAGTAAGTCTGATTTAAAATAACATGTCGAATAATGATTATTAGAGGAGTTAAGGCAACAAGAATCAATGTCATATTCCCAAATTTGCAGCACTAGGTTCAAAGGTTCGAATGTAGAACCTTCTTTTTCAGCTGCTGAAGTGCAAATATGGAAAGAGAAGCCTGTGCTCAGGTATAACAATAAGAGGAAGCTACTGGCACTACCTATTGATGAAAAATGAAAACAAATGTGAGATAATTTCCATAAAAGCTGAAGGTAAATGTGGACTGGAATTGGGATCAGTAACTTGAACTGAGAACTTTTTATGAATGTGAAACATCTTTTGACATAAACTAATATTGTTATTTAAAGGTCTGCCAATGTTTCAAAGTGAAGACAATGTTTAAGAAAAAATTACAGTTGACAAAAGTATTAATTTTACTAAAAAAAGTCTTTACAGAACAAAACATAAAACATTTATATAGATATGAACATAGTTTTTATCATTAATTTCACAGTGCCTTTCAAATAATACAACACATCTATATCTATGTCAAAATTGATTTAACCTATACTTTTTCTATAATAAGTAAATTAATATGATTTCAGGAATTCACTTAGCTCTGAAGAACATATATTTACACAGATTTTGTGTAAGTGCACAGAACAATTTTATTGCATGTAAATTTATATATTTGAGATAATTTTATGTATACTACAAGCATCTAGTATTTTAAACACAACTATCTTTGCATTTAAAAAGGAAATTTTGTGTCAATTTCCCTAAAATAAATATTTAGATAGAGAGCTAAATATATATATTTTACAATGAAATACATTCAACATAACATTCATTTTATATGAAATATGTTCATATAAACATATAATTTATTCATATAATTACTTAATACATAATATAATTAAACACAAAATAAGTTACTTTTGCAGAAGCTTGTCCCAATGAGTCAATGATAATTTCTAACTGTTCTATTTTCCTGCAAAACAGCAATTATATATTGTGAAAACAATTAATTAAAAACAGAAAAAGCATAAAATACCGAACTACAAAATTTTGAATTTAGAAAAATAAAAAGAAATCCATAGCGTTAAATAAGATTCGTAATGTTAATTTCATACGTTTGAGACTTCTTTAACAGGGTATAAAAAGTTTACATTTTTAAAATTGTAAAATCAGCCGTGCTCAGGATTCAAAATTTAAATTTACTTTATGTTGCAGATAAAACAGCATGTAAATAAAAATAAATAAAAATAATAAATAAATAAATAAAATCAAACAACAAGCTTATTTTACCATTTAACCTGCATATCCAAAGAAGCATTTCCCGATATATAATAAATCCAGTTGCTATTATTTGCTGGATTATCATCATATTCCGATTCTAGATCATATATTTTTACAGAAGAAGAATCTTTAATGTCAATAACAGTTATTTTACCAGGAAAAATCCTTCCTATCTCAAATGGAAATTCCATACTTTAAATCAATATGCTAATCCATTTCACACTTGAAAATATATGGAGATTGTTTACAGAAGCATTTTCAAATATACTTAATTTCTTGTAAATCAAAATTATGAGGAAAATTCGAAAACTTTCCGAAACTGATCACCCGGAACGTGCTTTAAAGCGTTTAAAAGGCCACATAGTCTGCTATGCGGTTACAGTTTAATCCAATTTCTATAAATATTATGTTATTAAAAATAAAAGAAACTTTGCTTTTTATGAAATGGACTAAGTTTATTTAACTTTTTAATTTGCATCATCAACTGCTCGTTAGACTTCATTAAATTTGAAACTTTGGATCTTTAATGCGAACAAGAATCATCCAGGGTATATACTAAAACTTCAACTTTCACTTTATTTATTTAGATATTTCGAATTTAATGGTGAAGAGGACGTCCTTTGCGTGCCGGTATTAACTGTCTTAAATTTCGTTGAAAATAAAGTATGATAAATAGAATATCTTGTTTTATTATTAATTGAAAATTCACAAATTTATCAGTCTCGCACTTACTGTGTAAAATGTGGATCTCACATATAACGGTTTTCTAATTTAATTTTAGAATGCCACAAGGTAAACGAAAAGTGCCTTTTAGTGCCAAGCAAAAGAAGATGCAATTACAGCAAAGAAGAGAACGAAAAAGTGAAAGCAGTCGTAAACGTGAGTAAACTCGTATTACTATCTAAGGACTATTTATATATAGAGAGAATCTTTCTTCCTTTAATCTTCCTTGCAAAACTGCTACTCTAAAATTCTCATTTAAAAATAGTTAAAAACATCTGAAAAGAATAAGGAAAAAAAAAATGAAGGCAAGAAATGTTAATCAAAGTATTAATCTCTTCTCATGGTTTTTAAATAATCTTTAAATCACTTTTAAAGTTCAATTCTGGTTCAGTAATATCTTTTCATTCAGTTATATACAGTCAAAAGTCGTTAATCCAGACACCCATAATCCGGAATGATCTATAATCAGGACCTCAAAGCTACAAACTTTCTGCGCTTGCGTTGACGCATACACCTAATATCTTTATGCATGTGTATATGCACGTACGCATGCGCATAATACTTTTACGCATGCGCGTTTAATGTATAACGGACCTTATAAGCTAAGTTAAAATTATCTAATTCAGTTAACGTTGCAGATTGCGTTGTTCCTTAATCTTCGAATTGGATTCGGCTTATTATTTTTTGCAGACTGTTAGAGCAATTTTGTAAAAGTAAGCTTGAACTTTCGATTATGTCAAATAGAATTTCTGATATGTATTTACTAAGATGTAAAGGATCTACAGAGTGAAAGTATGTTTCGAAGTTCATTAAACAAAAAGTGGAATTGCTGCAAAAAAAATGGATAAAGGCATATCCTTTGTTTATCTAAACTTTGTTTATCTTTAATGCCGCAGCACGCAATGAATTGGAAGTTGATCTGTCTGCACTATTCTTATCTTCAGGGCAGATGTTTTTATTTTATTTGGCTTACAATTCCTTACTAAATGTAGTATTTCATCTCGATGTACTTCGTCTTTGATATGATTTAAATCAAATTCCTCGTCATTATAATTCGCTTCCGATAGCGAAGAAAGTAACAGAGGTTATTGAAAATGAAAAAATTTTGATTGACAAATTAGTCGGTATTCTCGACACAGCAATTATAGGACTTGAACAGCGAAACTTTGTAACTGAACAAGAAACTATGTTTGTTTATAGAATTAAAGAGAATGTATTATCACATAAAAAACGAAGCAACTTACACAACTTACATTGAAAGAAATGTTTAATAAAGTAAACAAACAAATATTAAGTTTTTTTTTTTTTTTTTAATTTTGATACCTTTTAGATCATAATTGTTCTTTATTTCATAAATTACGCTTCATATTTTTAATTTTATAATTTCTGCATGCCATCTTAACAGATTTAAACTTTATGATCTATAATCTGGAAAAATCGATAATCCGGAATCGCCGAAGTCCCAACGAGTCCGGATTAATGACTTTTGACTGTACTAGTGATAATTGATACTGGTAGTGCAGCCAACTACTGTAGTGATCAACAGTGACAGTGAATAAGGAGTGCTAATTACAGAAACATATTCCTTTTGATTGAAAATTAAAAAATTAATGTGTGGTAAGTATTGTTTTCCACTTAACAAATTTCATACCTGCAAAATGGAAAAGTATTATATATTGGCTATCTGTAACTTATCCTTAAGTTTTTTTTTAATTAGGCATATTTAAAATATTGTATTTCTCGCAAGAGAAATTGCATATAAAAATTGATGGTTTTATATATATAAATATGCCTGTGCATTCAGAAGTCAAACAACAAAAATCAGTGTTATATTTTCCAATTTTCACAGGACTAGTTTCGATGGTTTTACCGAACCACCATCCCCAGCTGCAAATATGCAAATGAACAAGATAGAATATAATGATTAGATAAGATAAGAAAGCCTGGACACGAATAATCAAGTGGTGCCATCTGTTGATGAAACCAGAACTAAAACATAATTTCTTTAAAGGCCAACCGCAAACATGGATTGGAATTAGGATCATTAACTAAAACAGAAAGATTTTTTTTAATATGAAATGCCTCTAGAAAATCCAGTTCTCCAATGGAAGATGTTTTTTGAATAATTTTGGCAGCAGAAAAATTGAATTGCGATTTTCGAACCAACAATGTTGGGCAACAGAAGTTTCCTTTTTTCTAACATATGCCTCATGTTCCTTGACGCAAAATTTTAAGGCTCACTTAGTTTGGACAAAGCAAATTAAACCACACTGGCAAGGAATGCTATAGATTATCCAGGAATTCATATCCGGAATGGGGCCCTTGAGTATGGAACTCTGAATTTTATTGATGGGAGAATAAACGACTGAAAGTTAAATTTCTGCAAAAATGTGAAACTTATAGCTAATTGATGGAAAGAAGGGAATGACAGCAGAGAACTTTATATCTCTAAACAAGGTGTGCCTTTTAGTGTGTTGAGATGAGAATTTTTTTAAATGCTTGATTAATAGTGTTGAGTGAAAAGCCCGTGTCAATAGCTATTGCTTTTAAATAATTGAGTTCTTCATCAAGGGATAGTTCGGAGTAAACTTGAAGAGCACGGAAATCATAAGAATAAAATGAAGCTAACTTTTGTTTAGTCGGATGACATGATTTAAAGTGTGGTGGAAGGCAAACCAATAAAGGTTTACGGTAAACCGTAGTACTGAAGTTGGATATGTTACGTGTGACCAGAATGTCGAGAAACGGAAGAGAATTGCAAGTCTCAAATTCAAAAGTGAATTGAATAGCAGGATCAATAGAATTCATTGTTGAAAGAACTTATTTAAATCATCTTCAAAACAGGGTAAAAGTATCGTCTACGTAGCAGAACCATGCTGGGAAGTTAAAGTTTCAAACAATTTGATTCATAATAATGCATGTAGATATCAGCCAGGATGGGACTGAGGGGGCTTCCATGGCAATCCCTCAGTTTGCTTGTAATATTTATTTTGGAACAAAATGTGTTGTTTCAAACAGAGTTTGAGTGAGAGAAATTAGCTCATCAATTTCGATGCAAGAGAAATGAAATTCGCGAAGTCTGGTTCTAGACATCTTAATGCACCCTTAACCTGGGACATTGGTGAATATGATTTTACATCAAAAGAAACCATGAGTAAATTACTAGGAGAAATGTTTTAAACCTTTTTTACAAACTCTATTGAATTTTTATGCTGTAAATGTTATGTCTAATGAGTGGAAAATCGAGAAACTAATATTTAGCTAATGGATAAAGGCAATACCTAAATTTGATACAGTAGGGTGGAAAGGAATACCACTTTTATGAATTTTGGAAGAGCATATAATTGGCACAATTCGCAACAGATGGGATAAGCAAATGTTTTAAGTGCTTGAATGATTTGCGAAATTTATCGAAGTTTTTATTTTGACAAGTCCGAAGGTAAATTATCTTTAGGGATCGGATTATATGGTCCTTTGTTTAAGAGTTTAGTGACACCATCGATATAAGTGTTCTTATCCATGACGACTATCTGGCCAATTTTTTTCTAAATCAAAATGAAAAATTTTTATCAAGAAAATAAAAAAATCTTTCCATTAAATTTTAAATTCTGCGAATAACTTATTTTCTGAAGGAAGCGGTTACAGTAAAACACACACAAAAAAAGAAACGTATTCATGCATAAACTACTGGTAACTATTACAATACTAATTCCGAAGTCAAACAACAAAAATCAGCGTTATATTTACAAAAATTTTTTTTTTTTCACAGGACTAGTTTCAATGGTTTTACCGAACCGCCATCCTCAGCTGCAAAAACGCAAATGAACAAGATAGGATATAATGATTAGATAAGATAAGAAAGCCTGGACACGAATAAGCAAGTGGCTCCCTCTGTTGATGAAACCAGAACTAAAACATAATTTCTTTAAAGGCGGAAGGCAAAGATGGATTGGAATTAGGATTGTTAACCAGAATAGAAAGATTTTTTTTGAATATGAAATGCCTCTAGAAAATACAGTTCTCGAATGGAAAATGTTTTTTGATAATTTTGGCAGCAGAAAAATTGATAGTGTGATTTTCGGACCAACAATGTTGGGCAACAGAAACTTCGCTTCCTTTTTTGCACGTGGTGTGGCCGTCATTTTGTGATTGCATGGGTTTCAGTAAGCCCTTTTTTGCAATTTTGAAGTTCTGTTTGTGTTTCACATATTTGGATATTGTGCTTTGCTTGTCTGATTTCATGCATTTTGGTTGCAAACATTTTATTTTCTTTTCGTTTCAGTGTGGGATTTTTCTGCTATTTTGTGCATGCTTTATTATTGGTTAGTTAATTCAATTTGATTTTCTGCATTGTTTATCATGCCTTCATCCGTTAATTTTTTCACTAAATTACGCCTGAAACAGCAAAAATTCTTGAATCATCTTGACTTTTTATTTAAGTGTAAATGTAAAAAATTGATCCCCAATTTCATTCAAATCAAATCTAATCAAAAACCTTCCAGTTGTGTTTAAAAAATTCTGCTAAATTGCAAACTTGCCTTACTTCGGTCCATCATGAGGGATACACATCAACAATTGTCCAAAATTGAACATGAGCTCTATATGCTTCATCTGGAACTCGCTAA